GATGGAGTGCATGGTGAAACGTAAAATAAAATTTTCTTATGTAGTTCAATTTAAGACTATAACAGACTGAGCAATTACAGAGATTCCCCTTCTCAAAATTCAAATGCACACTTTTGTTACAACTTGAAATGAAAGTAGTAAATTTATATCTTTGCTTACCTTTTAAAACATTTAGATTTTCAGATGTTGCAGCCTCTTCTGTAAAACAAGAATGATAGAGTTAGTTAATTTTGGTAGGTGTGACAAATACTTGGTATGAGAAGCAGTGGTTTAGGGAATACGCTTTTACCGGTAAGTATTCTTTACAGAAAGAACGAGGAGGGTGGGACATTCGGTAAATTAATAATACCTTGCATGTACTTATGTAAATGACATTGTACTAGTATTTCAATGTTCCAAATGATTTATTTAAGCGTCAATTACTGTAAAATACTTTATTTTAGCAGGAATTACTTTCCGGTGTTTTGCATGGAGTTTATTTTCACTGATTTTTGATGAGTTGAATGTAAAATATATGAAAAAATGTATATTGGCTGGATTTTATACCCGGTACATGCAATAGCTGTGTTATTGTCAGGACATAGAATAGAGTGAATGTTGTAAATATTTTGCAGGGATAACACTAACAACATTTTAATTCTAAAACCATGACAAAACACTACGGTACTGTAAAATAGTTTATTTTCGCTGCAAATAAAATCCACAAATATACCGTTTTTTTTTTTATATTTTATATTCAACTCATCAAAAATCAGTGAAAATAAAGTCTTTTCAGCAAAAATTCCAGCTAATATAAAGTATTTTACAGTATACAGCATAATACCAATTTCTTTTAAGTGTTTTGCAATTAAATACAACAAGCCACTGCAAAGATACACCACCCATGCTCTGAACTAATGCTCTAACAACAGTTTCATGTACAATGCGTAAGAAGACAAAATTATAGATTTTTACAGTAGGAAATATTGAAATTCCCTTTACACCAAAGTAGTAGTGGGAGAGAGAAATTGGGACAATGATTACATCACCACCTAATAAAGCATGTCTACAAAATAGTAAAAGACTAACACCCACAGGATTTATTTCAGTTGAAAAACATGTTACAACTCATTACTCAGTCACCCGTTAATGGATCATCTGATCTTATATAAAGGTGTTATGCAACGTATCTAAATTAAGTGTGAAACTATAAAGTGGAAATTGTGAAACAGCGTATTGTAAAATTGAATACATGTTTTACAGTGGGGCACGATCGATGATTCATCCGTTGAACAATGCGAGAATGCAATATGCATGACGCCAAAAGTTCACACATTCTGGTATTTGTGGGGATATTTTGTCCTGTAACAATAAATATTATACCTCAATGTTTGCCCAGTTTTTGAACTTCAAGGACAGCCGTTTTGTACTCTCGGAAAGTATCGGGATGTGCAACTTTTTCTTGCATCTAATGAGTGAATCCAACAGGATTAGTGACCACACACATTATTACGCAGTGTTCTCCACAGGAATTTAAACCACTGTGGCGGACTAATTTGCATATAATTTGCATATCATTTACATAATAATAAAGATTGACCAAAAAACATTTACACCCACATAAACATATATTTTCAAAAACAATGTGGCACATATTTTTATATTTTATTTGTTTCATACAGTGTTATAAACACTATTCTTTTGGGATATTAATGAGCTCAGTCACAGTGCAAATATTATTTCTATTGGAGTCAAAATATTACGTTTCACAATTTAGAAGAGTTTGAATTTAAAAATGAAAAATTGTCGAATCGAAATGCAAATGCTGCAGACTATTAAAAACAAACAAACAAATAAATTGTAAAAGGTTAAATGAAACGCATTTGAAACGTTTCAGCCAGGAATATGTTCTCGAATTTCATGATCTTATTTACTATTTGTACCATCAGCTTCTACAACGTTTACATTTACAGTAATGAACGAACAAATAAAACTTCCAAACGATCATCAAAGTTACGACGTGACTTAACTTACTTCGCGATGTTATACACCGGTTATATAATAATTCCTATTACAGTCATGCCATGCCAAAAAATTTTTTTTATATAAAATAATCGTAAAATTTGAGCGATTATTTTTGATCACTTCGATGAAAAACACAGACCGCCATGATAATTGTGACGTATTAGTTGACCGGCATGTGTGCTTTGACCCGATGGGTCAAAGCGCCATTAACCAATTAGAATACCGCATGGTAATGCCAGCAGAACCCGAAGTTTTCCGAATGGTAGTGATCATAAAAATTACATTGCGGAAGTGAAGTGATGTCCTAGCACGATGTGTTGGTATGGATTTCAGGTGAAAACTGCATGATGGTTTTCGAAATAGGTGATATTGATAAGCAATTTTTAAAAGGTAAAAGAAGTCTTGAAAGAAGAGTTTTTACATGATTCGCGATGATAAAAGTTCAAATGTATTTTACCCAATCACGCAATAAACACGTTGTTTTTTTCTTGAGTAGAGTAAACTGATCGTGAACTCCGTTTTGCCCATGTTATATCGGGGTGGAATTAATTTGGAAAAATGTTAGACTGCGTCGATCGTCAAAGTATTTACTTACGAACAAAGAGGTGCTAATTTTACAAAATTAACTTGTATTGTTTATAAGCCATTACCGCATCGTGCGACTACGTCTATTTTTTACAAATTATAATCCACAACTGGCAGGATGCGTGTCGGTCGGTACGTCGGACAATAGTCCTGGTCGGAAGCGTGACAAAATTCCTGATAGCTACGTATTTCTTTCTATATTTCGTAATACAGTTCACAGGATGAACAATGAAAAAAGCACTGTGGCGGTCTTACTTATCACCGTAGCGGCTCGGGACCAGTGGCGGGCAGGAAAAGCAGCGTGGCGGCCCCGCACACAAATTGAATGCTGGGGAGAACACTGATTACGTACCGTTTGACATTCCGGTCCCTGGTTCCGGACCGACCCATTTAAATGCTGGCTTTCTACCTCTAGCCTCCGTCACGTGCACCTTCTTAATGAGGTTTAAACTTGTTAATATATTAGCTATATCGTAAAGTCTTCGAATTTTCGCTGCAAAGCAAAATTAAGAAACGTATATGATATATTTATATGAATATTGAATTTTAAGAACTTGGAAAATAATATTGATGTGTCATTTTAATATTAATTTTGTTGTGTACAGAGAACCAACAGACTCACAAAACTTTTTGCATTTAATTTAAGAGAAAATACTCGTGTAAAAAATAGCATTTTGAGAAATTCTCAAATTATTCAAGTTCATAGAGCAAACTGAAGTGCATACTTTATATTGAGCAATGTGTTCCCAATAGTTAAATTCACCTGTCTGTTGGTGATGACATGTTTTTAAACAAGTCATTGTCAATGACACGTCCCCGTTCCGTTCATATTTGAGTGACATATACATTCAAAGCAGATCATGACCGAAATGCACCTGCATATGTACAACACATTGTGCTAAATCTGAACAAAATCCATCCATGCATGACTGAGATCCGGTTCTGGAATTGTGAAAATACGTGATTTTGATGCATTTTCGGCCTTAAAATGGCCATCATTCCGCTATTGTTAAGCAGATCATGAAACAAATGCACATATCTATTTGTGACATGATGTACCATGTGTGTGTGAAGTTTGAACTTGATCAATCCAGACATGTCTTGGATACGAATCCAGAACTGAATTCTTTAACAAAATGGCC